CCTGTCAGACCAGGCAGCGATTCCGGGAGGTGGGCCGGCCTCTCTCAGGCACCGGGTGCCTGCCCGCTCCACCTTTCCCAGGGATGCACACACTTTTCCCAGGGATGCTGGGGAGACGAAAAGGCTCCACTCGACAAAATGACCTCAACGTGATGGCACAGCTGCCAGTGACACAGACTCTCCCGCTCTCAGCCCTCGCAGATGAATGAACCGTGTGGCTCAGCCCCTTCTCGCCCGCCCGTTCCGCGGAACCAGGAACAAAGCGATGGAGATCCGGGACTGCCCCGCAGCTGAGCTGTTGGCGCCCGGGCTCCCTGCTCCTTCTTGGGCTGCCTGAAGCAGGGAGGGATCTGCCCGGGCCTAACCCCTAACCCTAACTGCAGGCAGCACCAGGGCTCCGTGGGCAGGACCCGCAGCGCTGCAGGCACCAGGATCCCCTGGAGATGCCCTGCCCAGCCAGGCAGAGGCTGCGAGAGGGAAGTGACACCAGGACTCGCCTATTCCCAGAAATCCACTCCTGACAGCAGCCGGTGGGAGGCAGTTCCGAGCAGGGAGCAGCACCAGGGCACCACACATGTGATCTAGACAATCACACACAGTTCCACATCCATCTTCACAGTGTCCCATCCTCACCTCCCACTCTCTCCTTCCCATTCCGGGCCCTGATCCAGCAGCACAGGCCAAGGGTTGGGAGCAGCCAAAGACATGGAGCAAGCCAAGTGCATGTCCTGACAGGAGAGGCAGGAAGACAGATAGTGGCAGGGCATGCCTAACCAGAGCCAAGGAGGGTAGGAGGTGGCCCCAGCCCAGAAAGGAGGCCTGCAGAAACAGATCTGAATCAGCCCTTGGAAATCCATCACCTTCCACAACAATCAGAGAATATCTCAAGTTGGAAGGGACCCATAAGGATCAAGTCCAACTTCCTGCTCCTCATAGGACTACCTAAAAATAAAGCATGTGACTAAGAGTGTCGTCCAGTGGCACCAAACTTACACTCAGTTCCTGCATCCAGATAATTTGTGTAACCTTGTCATAAAAGAAAATTAAGTTTGCTAAGCAGAGATTTCCCCTTGTGAGCCCCTGCTGGCTACGGCCAAGGTCTGAGTTGTCTCTCAAATGTTTTACAGTAATTCCCAAAGTAACTTCCTCCATAATTTTACCAAGCACCAAAGTGAAAGCGACAGGTCTGTAATTGCCAAGTTCTTCCTTCTTAGCCTTCTTGAAAACTTTTGCCAGCTTCCAGTCAACTGGGACCTCTCCAGGCTCCCAAGGCCACTGACTCTACAGGGCCTCACCTAGACGTGAGGCAGCACAAGGTGCCCGCACCACCCTACAGCAAAGAAAAGGCAGCAGGGCAGGGCTCCTGGTGCTGGCAGGCAGGGAACAGTGAGGGACTCAGTCTCAAGTGCTGCTTCCCCATCATCTGCCCCCAGACAAGAGTCACCAGCTAAATGTGAAGCAGCAGCAAACACCTACAGAAGCCTAATGTGTCACCTGCCAGCACTGGCTCTTCCCATATGCAACATGAAGGTAGTTGAAGGCAGAAACCTGCCCATCTGGCTGCCTGTCACCACCATACATCCAAGCATCCTGCCTGGAAGCACCAGCTTTGTACAGAAAGGCTTCCCTAGAGTCACAATGTGCCTCCATCCACCAGCACTCACCTCCTTCACACAATAGACCTTGAGCAGAACCAGCCACAGAACTGCCCTTTCTGTCTAGCCCTTGGAAGATCAGTGGGCAGCACTGGGCACTGGCCCTACCCCAGCAGACAGAAAGCATTGCCAGAAAAAGACACCTTTATTTTAAATACAAGGAAGTGAAAAATTCAACCATTCAAGAGCTGAAAAAATGTAACTGGTCCATTGGCTCGGGTGACCAAACAAGGAGCTGTTGAATCTGTCCCTGTGTGCAAGCTGTCAGTCTTTCCCCAGGCCACCACTCTCCTTCATTGCTGCATCTTCTGGACAGATTCCTGGGAAGCAACAGCAGCATCAAAGCACTGCTGCTCCTAGCACTCATCACCTCCCTCATGGAGAAGGCCACAACCTGTGGCCCTTCCCTCAGCTGCACTGGCAAGGGATCACCAGAACATCCCTGCAGCTTGCCCAGGGTTGAGGGCTCACCCCAGTGAGGGAACATACCTGCTGCTCTGAGCTGAGCCTTCAAGGAGGAGATCACCTGGCAATAGGCTTCACACTGGGCAGTCTTGTCAGCTGCAGGCAGGAAA